GTGCGCAGGCAGCGTGCGGCAGTGCAGGCAGCGCATGCAGAGCTCAGAGAGCGCGCGCGTAAGCGGCACGAGCAGGGCGTGTGCGAGGAAGTGTATGGGTCGCGCGCTAGGCAGCTAGTGGGTCGCGCGCAGGGTAGGGCAGAGCGCGGTAGCGCGGGCAGGGCAGCGTGCGGGATGTTGTTAGGGCAGGGCAGGAAAAAAAAAAACGGGCAGCGCGGAACTAGCGGTGGGCCCTAAAGGACGTGCTATGAATACCATGTCAGAATCATGAGGCAGGAATGACTTCACTATAATGAATGATAAATACAAGTAGTGCTAACTCTGATAGGTTGTACTCAGTATAGTCTACCCAATTACAGCCTACACAACATATAAGTCATTTTGACAGCTGTGCGCACGCGGTTGCTGCTACGTGGATGCGGTTGTTGCTGCTTGCGCTGCTGCTGCTGTGCGCGCGTGGATGCTGTGTGTGCGGCTGCTGTGTGCGCGCGGTCGCTGTTGTGCGCGCGCGGTTGCTGCGGGTGTTGCGAGTGCGCTAGCCGCAAGTGGGCATGGCTGGCAGGGGGCGGGTGCGCGTCTGGTAGGGGTGCATGCTGTTTCCTAGCTGGGGCGCGCGCTGCTTCCCAGGTGGGAATCGCGCTACTAGCGGCTGGCTGGCTCGAGCGGAGTAACTGTCGGCTGGCAGGCTAGGAGCTAAGAGGTAGGGTAGGACAAACCTAGCTGATACCATCTCAAATAGTGAAACTGCTGAATGATCTGACTCGTATGAGTTGGGTACAATATAAAAACCTAGAAGGTATGTAACCCACAACAGCCTAACAACAACGGTACAAAATTTGACACTAGGGTGGTATCCAAGGGATTACAGTACCCCCTTGTATGCTGTTACTAGTCATTCATTCTTCACTTTCGACAACAGTGCGTGTGCCACAGACGTATCGTACCAAGTAGGGGTACAGCCATCTCATAATCAATTAATCAGGCTTCATATCGCAGGTTGAAAACATGGAGGATGAGACGAGACTATTCATTTTGTTACATGGCTCGGCACATCAAATGAATGTACAATATCCTTTTGGCATGATTTGCATCCTTAGCCCGAGCAATGCAACGCAGTTGTTAGAATAGCCATTGTTATCAGCTTGGGGTGGACCTACGGTACTGGTACCATTAGCAAATTCTAGAACCTGGGATGCACCCAGCCCAACCCATTTCTATAGCATCTAGGCATTTTCTTCCCACCCCATACACTCAACTACCTACAACCATTACGGGTATACACGCAACCCATACATATTTTCCATCCCTTCAGCTTCAAATTCGTCACACCCTGCAACAGTCAAGCTGTGAAGCATCTTGAGCTGGCTGAAATCCTGAGGCAGAGCAGCCAGCTGTGTGAAGCCATCCAGGTTGAGTTCCTTCAGCCCGCTCAGTTGTCCAAAGTGGAAAGGCAGGGAGCGTATCGGGTTGCAGTGAAGGTTTAATTCATGGAGGCAGGATAGCTGGGTGAGAGAAGCAGGGAGGTGGGTAAGCAATTAGCATTTTTCAAGATTCAGCTGGTGCAATAAGGATAATGCCCCGATGTCGTCTGGAAGAGAGGAGAGCTTAGGTGCATGGATTCAACTATTGTCAGGGATTGAAGGTGGCTGAAAGTATCTGTCAGCTCCGTCAACTCTGCAGCCCGGCTGCCACAAGGCCAAACCTAACCCTTAAGGAAACATCCTCATGCAACCAGTGCTATGGATTGTCAAGCTGCAGAGGTTAGGAAGAAGTTCCGGAGGCAAAGGAAGGTCCTCTCCTTCTCCAGCCAATGTTAGCTCTAAATTCTCCATAGAAGTGAGGGACATGCGTACAACTAGCCCACCTACGAGCCCAACACTAGTTAAGCTCATTGTTCTCAGCTTGGGTAGAGAAGGAAGCTCCAGCAGAGGGGTGAGCCGCTGGGAGCTCCCTATGGAGAGAATCTCAACGGAGCAGGGTAGGGATGCTGATACTTGTGGTAGCTGGAGGAGCTTTGCTAGAGCCAATTATTTCAGCCTCCCCAGGCTGCTCAAGCTGGTGGGGATTGAGGTAAGGCTGTCGCAGTCCATGGATTTCAGAACGTTCAGGCTGACTAGATCAGTGAGAGAATCTGAAAGCTTCTGGATCTAGAGCAGGACTAGATGATCAATACGCACAGGCTGCTCAGCTTCCCCACGTCTTCTCAAAGTTGTGCTACCATGCATTCGATGAGCTCCAACCTTGTGAGAGAGGTCAGCTGCGTGAACGAGGATGGAGGCAGCTGCTGGGGGAGATTCTGTGTTAGACAGAACGTGTGGAGGTTGGTGAGTGCGCCTATGTCGTCTGGGAGCTTCAGGTGCGGAGAGTTAAGGATGCAGAGGGTGTTGAGTGCAGTGAGGAAGCTGAACCTTGCAGGCAGCTCAAATATTGCATTGCAGTAAGACAGGTACAGGGTTTCCAGAGACGTCATTTGGTAGAATGAATCTGGGAGACTCAAAATTGGCAGGTGGTTCAGCGTCAGCACTTTCAAAGTGGGCAGCTCTCCAGAGTTTTCGGGCAGGCTGACCATGTCGCACGAGAAAATCGCCAGCTCACGCAGGTAGCTTAGGGAAGTGAACTTACAGGGCAGCTCAAAAACATTCTCGCATCCCCATAAGGTCAGATGCCGAAGGCGTGGCAGTCGCTCTCCGATGTCATCAGGAAGACAGCCCATCTCTTTGCTGCCTTTGAGAAGCAACCGCTCCAGACAGCTGAACAAGACTCCCGACGGAAACATCAGCTCGAATTACGAACTGCACGTGTCCAACTCCACCGCTTTCAGCCAAGGCATCTAGGCGAATGAGAAGGGTTGAGAGTCTCCGCGTTCTAGTTCCAGCAATGTGTTGCCTAACAATGCTAGGGTGGTGAACGCCGGGAGGTGTGCGAGGCTCGCGAGATTCGTATTTGCCTGCTGGTGGAATGTGGACAGTGAGGGCGGTGAGAGAGGTCAATTTCATGAATCCTTGAGCCTCGAGAGGTGAGGATTCGGTAAGAGCGAGGGTGTGTAGGTCCGTAAGGAGCGAGAGAGACTCAAGCATCTTGCAGGACCAATGCAGGCAGTACAGAGAGAGGTGTTGCAGCTTAGTGCAGCGATGCGGGAAGCGGTCCAAACCAGCCTCGGTCTCCGGGTGCTTGTCCTCATTCTCATACTCCACCGTCGGCGTGATCTCTTTTCCCACGTGCAGCGACATGAGTTTAGGGCATTAGGAAGCGAGGCAATAGAGGAACGCGTCGTTAATGGTTTCCGCGCTGTTGTCACTGAGGTGCAGATGAGAGAGGTACCGGAAGCACTTGATGGAAGCGATGAGATCTCGAAGCGAAGCGATGATTTTTTCCTTCACGAGAAGCATTGAGACCTGACAGCGAGCCAGGCAATGCCACCGCTTGCAAACTGATGTGATCAGAAGATGGTAGGCGGGATCTGTAAGAACGGTGGGAGCTGACAACGTTGAAGTACTATTTGTCAAACTTATATGCTATGGTCTATCTAGGCTGTAGTGAGGTAGACACTATAGGGTACAACATTTCTAGGTTTCCTACTTGTACCCATCCGCTTGCTAGTTCATTCATTCCTCATTTCTTCGCATGGTATCAGAGCAGGTTCCCTAGTGGGAACGCTTCTCAGGGCCCACCACTGAAATCGACTTTTTTTTTCCTAACCGGAGCGCGAGTCGCCCGTGCCCAAGGCGCGCCCCGTTGGCCGCCCTCACGTCGCGTCCCCTGCCCTTAGTGGCATGTCGCGCCCTCCTAGAGGCCCCTCTCACGACCCCTCACGCCACCCTTAGCGGCCCCGTCGCCACCCCTTACGGCCCCGTCGACGTCCTTTGCGGCCCCGTCGCCACCCCTCTAGGCCCCTAGCGGCCCCTTCGCGGCCCCGTCGCCGCCCCTCTAGGCCCCTCGTAGCCCCTTCGCGGCCCCGTCGCCGCCTCTAGCGGCCCCGTCGCCGCCCTTCGAGGCCCCTCGCGGCCCCTTTGCGGCCCCGTCGCCGCCCCTAGCGGCCCCGTCGCCGCCCCTATGGGCCACGTTGCCGCCCCTATCGGCCCCGTCGCCGCCCCTGGCGGCCTTGTCCCCGCCCCTAGCGGCCCCGTCACTGCCCTTCGCGGCCCAGTCGCCGCCCTTCGCGGCCCAGTCGCCGCCCCTAGCGGCCCCGTTGCCGCCCTTCGCGGCCCCGTCGCCACCTCTAGCGGCCCCGTCGCCGCCCTTCGCGGCCCCGTCGCCGCCCTTCGCGGCCCCGTCGCCGCCCTTCGCGGCCCCGTCGCCGCCTCTAGCGGCCCCGTCGTCGCCCTTCTCGGCCCCGTCGTCGCCTCTCGCGGCCCCGTCGCCGCCCTTCGCGGCCCCGTCGCCGCCTCTAGCGGCCCCGTCGCCGCCCTTCACGGCCCTTTCAGCCGCCAAGCAGCCGAGCCGCCGAGCTACCGAGCCGGCGAGCCTCCCAGCAACCGAGCCGCCCAGCAGGCGAGCCGCCGAGCCACCGAGCCGAGCCACCGAGCCGCCGAGGCCGCCGTCGAACCGCCACTATCAAGCCGCTGCCGCCCAGCCGCCGTCGAGCTACTACTGTTCCTACCGGCGCGCCCGGGTCCTACCCACCCGGACTATTGAGAGCACTCCCTGCTAGACCACTGCTGTCATGGCTACCCCCAGTGTCCTTACCTTTGATGCTGAGGGTCGTGCTGTTGACTTTGAGTCTGGGTCGATGACCTCCTGCTCTTCCTACAGTGCAATAGGGCAGACGGACTCTCCCTGTTCGATCTCACCTCTGGTGCCTCTCCTTCCCCGCCTGCTGATGCTGACAGCACTGTTCGCTCACAATGGGCCACACGCGATGCTGCTGCCTGTCTTGCTGTGCGTCGACACTTACCGACCGCTGAGCGTGCGCACTTAAGTCAGACAAGACTGCTAAGACCTTGTACGACGCTGTAATTGCACGCTACTCTTCCCCTGCCACTGCTGCTCTTAGCCGCCTCATGCTGCCGCACCTGTTCCCTGACCTTGCTGCTTTTCCCACAGTCGCTAACCTCATTACACACCTTCGCACTAGTGACACTCGCTACCACGCTGCGCTTCCTGCTGAGTTCTGTACCAAGAACCCTCCCCCTATGTACATCACCCTCTACTACATAGTCACCCGGCTCCCTGACTCCCTTCGCTTAGTCGGGGACCACTTCCTCTCAGTTTGCCCCACCACACTCACCGTTGACCTCCTCGAGGAGCGCCTCCTGGCAGCAGAGAAGAGCATTGTCGCTGTAGGAGCCTCTCGTGGTGACCCCCGTACCCCCATCTTTGAGGGGTGTTCCCCCGCCCCCCTCTTGCCCTCTGTTGCTTCTGCTACTGCGGCCGACCTCGTTGGCTTCGAGTCGGTCGGTGCTGCGTCTGCCCCTTGTGGGAGACACCGCACCGGCAATGGCAAGGGGGTACTGGTCCCTGTACCTAAGTCCTCCGTACCGGCGACCGCGATGGTGAGCAGTGCGGGGGCTCGCACTCCCCCCAGCGCTGCTTCGGCCGCTTGACGGATGCTTGGCGTAACCAGTTCCCTGACTCCACTGAGATCCCTCTCTGGGGAGAGCTGTCTAGGGCGGGGGTTGCTATCTTTGATCTTGACTATGATGCTATTCTTGCTGCCATGTATGCTGTGTCTACTAGTGATGAGGGTGACTGTTACGTGTGTGTTCTGCCTGACCCAGACATTGAGGCTGCTGCTCTAGGTGCTGGTGAGGCTGCTGCTCTAGGTGCTAGTGCGTCTGCTGCTCCAGGTGCTGGTGAGTCTGCTCTCTCAGATACCACGTCGGCTCAGGCCTTACACACCTTCACCCTTGACTCGGGTGCTTCCCGCTCCTTCTTTCGAGACCGCACCATGCTTACGCCGCTTAGTCAGCCAGTGGCAGTCTCCCTGGCAAACCCCTCTGGGGGTCCTGTCCTTGCCCACTTCTCCACTGTCTTACCGTGTCCGGCGGCCCCTTCTGGTATCCTGTCGGGTCTTTACCTCCCCTCGTTCTCTACGAACTTGGTGAGTGGTGCTGACCTGCAGGATGGAGGGGTTCACCAGTTCACTCCTGCGAGTCAACAAGTGACCCACTGTACGTGTGCTCGGACGGGCCGACACTTGGCCACGTTTACCCGTCGACCGGGGTCGAGCCTGTACACACTGACTACTGAGTCTCCTCCGATCGCTGAGTCTGGTCAGGTAGCCGCGTCGGGTCAGGTGTTTGCTGCGGCGTCCAGGTCTGGTCCTGAGTCTGCACCCTCCTCTTGTCGTCTCCTGTGTCACCAGACTCTCCTCTGGCACCACCGCCTTGGTCACCCCTCCCTGCCTTGTCTTCGAGGCATGGCCTCCCGTCTCCTTGTCTCTGGTCTCCCCCGGTCCCTCCCTCCCTTTCCTCCGGGGCCTGCCCCCACCTCCGTTCCTTGCGTCGAGGGGCGGCAGCGCGCTGCTCCTCACTCCTCGGAGTTTCTTCCGACAGAGGCTCCGCTGCAGACGCTTCACATGGACGTGTGGGGCCCAGCCCGCGTCGGTGGACAGGGTCACGAGTGTTACTTCCTGCTGATGGTTGACGACTACTCGCGTTACACCGCAGTCTTTCCCTTGCGCACCAAGGGTGAGGTCACTGAGGTGTTGATCGCCTGGATCCGCGCAGCTCGTCTCCAGCTCAGAGAGAGTTTCGGCTCGGACTTTCCTGTTCTGCGTCTGCACTCTGACAGAGGCGGAGAGTTCTCCTCTGACCTTCTGCGAGCCTTCTGTCGTGCACGAGGCATCCGCCAGACCTTCACGCTTCCGGACTCTCCGCAGCAAAATGGGATTGCTCAGCGCCGCATTGGCATGGTCATGGACGTCGCTCGTACGTCCATGGTCCATGCGGTTGCCCCCCATTTTCTGTGGCCGTTTGCGGTTCGGTACGCGGCGCATCAGATCAACCTTCAGCCCCGGGTCTCCATGCCGGAGACCTCCCCTGCTTTGCTGTGGACGGGGAAGGTTGGCGATGCGTCTGCGTTCCGTGTCTGGGGATCTCGGGCGTTTGTCCGCGACTTGTCTGCGGACAAGCTGTCCCCTCGTGCTGTTCCTGGCGTCTTCCTTGGCTTCCTCCCTGACGCGCCGGGCTGGCACTTCTACCACCCCACCTCGTGCCGTGTTCTGTCCTCCCGAGACGTCACGTTTGACGAGTCGGTTCCCTACTACCGTCTCTTCCCCTACCGCACTGCGTCCCCCCCCCCCCCCCCCCCCCCGTCGCTCTTCCTTACGCCAGGTTCCCCTCCGGTAGACCCCCTCCCCCCTAAGGGTCCTGCCCCCTCAGGAGTGCCTCAGGTAGACGCAGTTGACCCTGTCGAGGTAGCTGTTGACTCTGGTGCTGCTAGGGGTGCTGAGCCTGCAGGTGCTGGGTCTGGGGGTGCTGAGCCTGGGGGTGCTGAGCCTGGGGGTGCTGACTCTGAGGGTGCTGCGCCTAGGGGTGCTGAGCCTGGGGGTGCTACGCCTGGGGGTGCTGCATTTGGGGGTGCTGCATTAGGGGGTGCTGAGCCTGGGGGTGCTGCGTCTGGGGGTGCAGAGTCTGAGGGTACTGGACCTGCTCGTGTGGCGTCTGGCGGTGCTGGGCCTGGAGGTTCTTCGGGTACTTCGTCCCGGCGGGAGCTACTCTCTCCACAGGAGCTGCGTGAGTGGTTTGCTCGGCGTTGGAGGCGAGCTGCTGGAGCTGGAGGTGCTGCGGGTGCTGGAGGTTCTGCTGCTGCTGAGGGTGCTGGTGCCTCGGGTCCCGGAGGTGCTCGTACTGGGAGTCCTGGAGCTGCTGGACCTGCGGGTGCTTCTTGTACTGGAGCTCGTGGTGCTGCTGGCGTCGGTGCTAGTGAGGGTGCTGGAGCTGGACCCGCTGCGTCTTCTGGTGGTCTGGCTGGAGCTGGAGCCGCTGGTGCTGGTGCCTCTGAGGGTGCCGCTGGTGCTGGTGCCTCTGAGGGAACTGGAGTTGGCACTGCTGGAGCTGGGGGTGCTGCTGGCGCTGGTGCTGTTGTTCGGGGTGCTGGTGCTGTTGTTCGGGTTGCTGGTGCTGGCCCTTGTGGTGCTGGTGGTGCTGAGCGGCCGCGGCCGTACTTCATTCCGCTCCTTGAGCAGGTTCATGGTCTTCCGCCCTCTGCTAGTCCGGCTCCTCCCTTAGAGTGTCCACCGCCTGTCCAGTCCGAGTCACAGTTACAACCTACCTCTCCTCTGCTTGCTCCTTCTCCCTACACTGGTCCTACTAGAGGTCTTGCTGAGCGTCGTGAGCCTGCGTCTTGTCCTGCGTCGCCTGTCCATGCTGCTTGCACTAGTAGTCGTGGTTCGCGTCAGCGTCCTCCCCCTGTCCCTTGCACGCACCGGATGTCTCTGCGTCCCTCCACTGCTCTGCTGCGTGCCCCTTTGCCTTCTCCTCCCGAGTCCTCTCTTCCTGTTCTTCCTGACCCGGAGTCGGACTCCCTTCGTGCTGCCAGTCCTACTGTCACGCGTCTCCTTGCTACTGTCCTCACTGACCCTTCCTTTGAGTCCGCTGCTGCGTCTGCCTTAGTTTCTGAGCTTGTCGACTTCGCTGCTCGCTGTCGCCTAGACTACGCTGCCAGTCTTGTGGCTGAGTCTGAGTCTATCTGTCCTCCGTCCGTCGGGGGTGAGTGTGCCCTTGACACGGACGTCCTTAAGGACTCTGGAGGAGACGGCAACGGGACACGCAGAGGAGCAGTGGAAGGACGCAATGCCATCTGGTGTGTGTCTAAGACCGCAGGAGGACGCGGACGCGGAGCACGACTACTAGTGCGAGCAGCACGAACAAGCGAAGTAGGACGAGACGTTGGCTCACGACGCTCAGCAAGACCTCTAGTAGGACCAGTGTAGGGAGAAGGAGCAGGAAGGGGGGAGGCGGGCTGTAACTGTGACTGCAACTGGACAGGCTGTGGACACTCTAAGGGAGAAGAAGGACCAGTAGAGGACGGGAGACCAAGAACCTGCTCAAGGAGCGGAACGAAGTACGGCCGCGGCCGCGCAGCGTGTCCAGAACCAGCAGGGACATCACCAGCGCCAGCAGCACCTCCAGCTCCAACAGCGCCAACTCCAGCACCCGCAGAAGCACCAGCTCTAGCAGAACCAGCAGCACCAACTCCATCAGGACCGTCAGCTCCAGTACCGTCAGCAACTCCATTAGTACCTCCAGCAGGAGTGACTCCAGCAGCCGCAGCGGCACCCCCAGTCCCAGCAGCTCCAATACCGCCAGTATGAGCACCTCCAGAACCAGCATTAACAGTAGTACCTCCAGCTCCAGCAGCACGACTCCAGCGGCGGGCAAACCACTCGCGCAGCTCCTGCGGAGTGAGTAGCTCCCGCCTCGACGAAGCACCGCCAGAGGCCACACGAGCAGACCCAGCACCCCCAGGCTCCGCATCCCTAGGCTCAGCACCCCTAGGCTCCGCACCCCCAGGCTCCGCACCCCCAGGCTCAGCACCCCCAGACTCAGCACCCCCAGGCTCCGCACCCCCAGGCTCAGCACCCCCAGACCCTGCACCCGCATGCTCAGCACTCCTAGCAGCACCAGAATCAACAGCTACCTCGACAGGCTCGATTGCGTCTACCTGGGACACACCTGACGGGGCAGGACCCTGAGGGGGGAGAGGGTCTACCGGGGGAGGACCTGGCGCAAGGAAGAGGAGCGGCGGGGGGAGGTGCGTAGTGCGGTAGGGGAAGAGACGGTAGTAAGGCACCGACTCGTCAAAGGTGACGTCCTGGGAGGACAGAATACGGCGCGAGGTGGGGTGGTAAAACTGCCAACCAGGCGCATCAGGGGGGAAGCCAAGAAAGACGCAGGGAACAACACGGGGGGACAGCTTGTCCGCAGACAAGTCGCAGACAAACGCCCGAGATCCCTAGACACGAAATGCAAACGCATCGCCAACCTTCCCCGTCCATCGCAAGGTGGGGGAGGTCTCTCGCAGGAAGACCCGGGGCTGAAGGTTGAGCTGATGCGCGGCGTACTGAACCGCAAACGGCCACAGAAAATGGGGAGCAATCGCATGGATCATGGACGTACGAGCGACGTCCATGACCATGCCAATGTGGCGCTCAGCAATCCCATTTTGCTGTGGAGAGGTCGGAAGCGAGAAGGTCTGGCGGATGCCCTGTGCACGACAGAAGGCTCCCAGACGGGCAGAGGAAAACTCCTCGCTCCTGTCAGAGTGCAGACGCAGAACAGGAAAGTCCGAGTCGAAACTCTCTCTGAGCTGGACACGAGCCGCGCGGATCTAGTCGATCAACACCTCAGTGACGTCACCCTTGCTGCGCAAGGGGAACACTGTGGTGTAACGCGAGTAGTCGTCAACCACCAACAGGAAGTAACGCTCGTGACCCTGGCCACGGACGCGGGCGAGGCCCCACACGTCCATGTGAAGAGTCTGCAGGGGAGCCTCTGTCGGAGGAAACTCGGAGGAGTGAGGGGCGGCGCGCTGCCGCCCCTCGACGCTGGGAACGCAGGTAGGGGCAGGCCCCGGAGGGAGGGGAGGGAGGGACCGGGGGAGACCAGAGACAAGGACACGGGAGGCCATGCCTCGGAGACGAGGCAGGGAGGGGTGGCCAAGCCGGTGGAGCGAAAGGAGAGTCTGGTGGGACAGGAGACGACACGAGCAGGTAGCAGACTCAAGACCAGACCTGGACGCTGCAGCAAGCACCTGACTCGACGCAGCTACCTGACCAGACTCAGCAACCGGAGGAGACTCAGTAGTCAGTGTGTACAGGCTCGACCCCGACCGACGGGTAAACGTGGCCAAGTGTCGGCCCGTGCGAGCACACGCCAAGTGGGTCACCCGCTGACTCGCAGGAGTGAACTGGTCAACCCCCCCATCCTGCAGAGCAGCACCACTCACCAATTTTGTAGAGAACGAGGGGAGGTAGAGACCTGACAGGGTGCCAGAGGGGGCTGCCGGACACGGTAAGACAGTGGAGAAGTGAGCAAGGACAGGACCCCCAGAGGGGTCTGCTAGGGAGACCGCAACCGGCCGACTAAGCGGCGTAAGCGTGGTGCGGTCTCGAAAGAAGGAGCGGGAAGCACCGGAGTCAAGGGTGAAGGTGTGTAATGCCTAAGCCGACGTAGTACCTGAGAGAGCAGACTGACCAGCACCTGGGGTAGCAGGCGCACTAGCACCTAGAGCAGCAGCCTCACTAGTACCTAGAGCAGCAGCCTGAATGCCCGGGTCAGGCGGAACACACAGGTAACAGTCACCCTCATCACTAGTAGACACAGCATACAGGGCAGAAAGAATAGCATCATAGTCAAGATCAAAGATAGCAACCCCCGCCCTAGACAGCTCTCCCCAGCGAGGGATCTCAGTGGCATCAGGGAACTGGTGACGCCAAGCGTTCGTCAGGCGGCCGAAGCAGCGCTGGGTGGAGTGCGAGCCCCTGCACTGCTCACCAGCACGGTCGCCGGTACGGATGACGTAGGTACAAGGACCAGTACCCCCACCTCGATGACGCGCAGCGTACCACTCACGAAGCTGCTGGGGGGACAGGGTCTCACGAGTGCGCTGCTGCAGCTGGCGCGGACCACCACCGGAGCCACTTCTCTGCGTAGAGCCGCGACCAGCTCCACCGCCGCCCCTGCCGCCTCCGCCACCACCGCCGCCTCCGCTCCCACCGCCACCGCCGCTCCCACCGCCACCGCTGCCTCCTCCTCCGCCTCCATTGCTTCCACCGACACCTCCACCCCCGCCACCACTCCCACCACCAC